TAAACCGTTGTATATTATTGGGGCTATAAATTGGTAGAGCCACAGTGAGAAATATGGTGGTTCCTTCATAAATAAAATTACCATATGATTCTACTTCAGGCTGGATATATATCCAAAGGAACTGGAAACCGAAGCTTGAAGAGGTATCTGTACCCGTAAGTTTATTGCAGCACTACCCACAATAGCCAAGATATGGAGACAAACTCAGTGTCCATCAACAGATGAATGAAGCTGTGAGATCCACATATATACATATGAAAGTGTGACAGTGAAAGTGTCCAACTCTGTGATCCCGTGGACTGTAGCCCACCGGGCTCCTCTGTCCATGGAGTTCTCCAAGCAGGAATACTGGAGTGGGTTGCTGTTCCCTTCTCTCTCTATATATATATGTAATATATATATATACACATAATATGTATATATGTAATATATATATATATATGTAATCCAGCCATTAGAAAGATGGGAATCATGCTATTTGTGACAACATAGATGGACCTGAAGGGCATTAAGCTAAATGAAGTAAGTCAAAGAGAGATAAGTACAGTATGTTATTACTTATATGTGAAATCTTAAAAAACCAAACTCATAAAAACAGAGAGTAGAACATTGGTTACCTGCCGGGAGCCAGCACACGAGATCCCACCCATGAAAGGCCATGAGGGAGAAAACCTGACAGGCAAGGCGGATCAGGTTTTCAGGGATTTCGAAAAGCTGCCCCCGGCGCTCACCTTAAAGATGCTATCTGTCTTTCTGATGCCTGCCTCAATGGACTACTCCCTAATTTCTGTGACACAGGCAGAAGGCCTTCCCCGATCTCTTCCCAAATAAGAATCAATTTAGAATTTTAATCAGTAAGTTTCCCGGGTGGTGGTATTTTATGAGATTATCCAGGGTGAAAGGAGTGTTTTAATTTAAACTCCTTTGCTGGTAGTTTGTTAGCCAAATGCGTTTATGCCCTTGGTACTAATATGCATGATTGCTTATAATATCCTAATCATAAAATAGCATAAAGAACCTAATTATATAAAAGCCCTAATAGACATAGAGCCTTTTTAAGGAGTAAAGGAGTCCTACTAGAAAACATAAGAAAAATTATTCTATAGGTGGTTCTTGGGTTGAAATTTGCTTGCTGTGTTTTTGCTTTTAATGTGCTAAGGTTGTGTTATAGAAACCATTGTTAATATAGTTAAAGATCTAGAGCAATAAGGACTTAGCCCTAGTGTGGTAACAATGAGATGGTTGTTAATTGTCAGCCAGGAGTGCTAGGCAGAAGCTGCCTCACCAAAGTCTCAGAGTCAGTATGGGGTAAACTTCTTAGATAAACACAACTGATAACTTTTGCAGAAGGATTAATTTTTGTATTAACAAAGATATAATTCTACTCTGTACTGTTGCCCTATGAGACTGCTACTTTCAGTTAAGGTCACCATAAAAACAGAAAATAGGTTTACATTCACCTGACCTGCATAAAATGTTAATAGCCTCAAGGCCAGAAGATCATGTGCTAAGAATTACTATAGAATTGGAAAGCAAAAAACATCCTGCTTTTCCTAAAAAACAAAATGATGTAATACTAATCCTGTGTAATCATGAGTAAGCATCTTCTACCTTGAAAACGTTCTGAGAGAGGGTATAAAACCTGTTGTCAAAAAGTAAAACACAGACTTGCCCTATCAAGGCCGGTCTCACGTGTCTTTTCTCTCTCTCTCTCACGCCATTCATCCTGAGGGTATCCCCTGGATCCTGCCGAGGCTGGACCCCGGCAGTTACCAGAGGCTGGGGGTGGGGGTGAAGTGGGGGGTGGGGTGGGAAGTTGGCGATGTGTATTTAAGGGTATAAACTGGAGTGAGTAGATAAATAAGTCCTGTAGAGATTTTGCACAGAGTAGTGATTATAGTCAACAATACTGTATTATAAGTTTCAAAGTTGCTAAGAGACTAGGTCTTAACTGTTACCACCATAAAAAAAGAAATGATAATTATTTGATGGGCTAAAGCCCTGAACTAATCCTATGGTGGTAGTCATTACAATATATAAGTACATAAACCAACACACTGTATACCATCAATGTACACAATGTTTTATGACAATTATAATTCAACTGAAAATGAAAAAATAAAAGACCACTGTGGGTTTTAATGTAAACAACTGCAATTCAGTGAATTATTACTGAACAATGTAAACATGGCTGTTATTGAAACTGACTACATCAATAGATTCTCAACAGTCATTTAAATCATTTCGAGAGCAGAAACAAGGAGCTCTAGGGTGTCTAGAAATCAGCAGCCAGGGGCAAAATTCAGGAAAACATGAAGCCCAAGATGTAAGAGGCCTGCACCAACCATATGTGACATCCCACTAAAGCGATGATGCAAGTAGCAAGAACAGAATTCAGTAATTAGCAAGTGACAGAAGTGACCATTGGCATCAGAATGGTGTGGGCAGCATATTCAAGTACCTGCCTGCAGCAATGAAGAGCCAGCACAGCCAAAAACAAACAAACAAACCCGAATGAGACCACATCAACCTCAAAACTGCTGTGAGTCAAAGGACACAGTCAACAGAGTGCAATAAACTTACAAAACAGGATAAAATGCTTGCAAATCACATATCTGATAAGGTGTTAATAAATATATTAAATATATCTAAAATATATAAAGAACTCCTGCAACTTAACTAAAGACAAACGACTTAACAAATGCCCAAATGATCTTAAATAGACATTTTTCTAAAAAGGATACACAAATGGGCAACCAGAAAATGAGAAGGTGCTTAAGATGACGAATTTTTAGCTAAATGCAAAACAAAACCAAAATAAGACATTATCTTACACAAATTAGCATAGTTACTCTTGAAAAAAACCAGAAAATAACAACTGTTTTGGAGGAGGAGACATTCAAACACTTGTGCGCTGTTGTTAACTTTATAAAATGCAGCAATCACGATGGGAAACACACAGCAGATCCTCAAAAAATCAAAACTAGAAACAGCACAGGACCAAGCCATCCAAATACTAGGGACACGTCCAAAATAACAGAAAGCAGAGGCTTGAAGAGACATGTGGAAACTCATGTTCATAGCGGCACTTTTCCAACAGTGAAGAGATGAAAGCAACGCAAATATTGACCTTCTGACCAATGGATAAATAAAATGCAGTGTAAAAGCTCAATGGAATATTATTCAGCATTTAAAAGGAAGGAATATGGATAAAACTCAAAGACAATATTCCAGTGAAATAAACATTCCACACACACACAAGTGCTTTAGAATTCCACACACATGTGGTATATAAGTCGTCAAATATATATAACATGAACGTAAAATGGTGGATACTAGTGGCTGGGGAGAGAGAAAATAATGACCTGATTTTTTTTAGGTGAGTTCTGTAGGGACCAGTTTTGTAAGGTGGAAAAGTTAAGAGGGAGATTTTTAGCATAACAACTATATATGGGATACTGGAATAACATATATGGGATATTGGAACTATATACAGGAATATACTGGATACTACTGACCAGTACAGCAAACACTGGGATTGTTTTCAACTACAAACATTTTTGTTTGAAATGTAACTTTCCAACATAACATGAACTAGTCTGTGTAATACAAAACATTCTTCAAGGGGATTCATTTTCTGAAAAAATTTTAGAAAGAAAGAAGCCATAGTAATGCTAAATTTCCTAAGGAAGATTAAGGTTCTGTGGGTATTAGTATAAACTTATATGCATTGTCTCTAGTTACTGAAATAAGTAATCTCTAATTACTGATAAAGAGAAGATTGTTTCTTAAAATTTAAAAATACAATAAGAACAAAAAAAAATAGAAAAAACAAAAAATCTCAAACTTCATATGTCACAAAACTAAAAAGAACAAACTAAGCCCAAAGTTAGCAGGAGGAAGGAAATAACAAAGACTAGTTCCGAAGTGAGCACAATGGAAAGCAGAGAAACAACAGAAAACGTCAACAAAACCAAGAGTCGGCTTTCTGAAAAGAACACATTCATTTCGTTACTTACTGCTGGCAGGAACGTGAGGATGTTTTCGCTCAGGAAACTTATTTTGCTTTGCAGCTCTGCTGTCCTTGCATCCTTTTTCTAAGTCCAGCTGAATTTACTTTCCTTAAAAAAGCAAGAAATACATTTTGGCTTCATCACAGCAACTCCTATTCCCCCTCCTCCTGGAACCCCCTCTCCCCCCACTTCACTTGCCTCGCTGCTCCTCAGACTCCAGTCAGTTGGTTTCACCTGATCATACACACCTGCTGGTCATCCTCAGTCACCACGACCAAGCCTTGCTCCTAGTCTCATGACAACACTCACACTGTTGTTTCTCTTCCTCCTCTGTCCCCTGTCCCCAGTGCTCTGAGAGCCGTGTGAGGACAGGCACTGCTCTCTTCCCCTCAGAGATGCTCTGTCCTCAGCGTCTGCACTCGGGGGGCCTCCCCTCAGCCTCTTCCCCAGAATCTCCCACAGCAGATGGAGGGAATGCAGACATCCATCTGTCTGAGCTCTCCTCTGAATTATGATTCCCTGCAGACTCCCTGGGACTCCAGAGTGCTAGGTTTTACTGTAGCCGCAGCGAATCTCATTTTAAAAATCTTCTTTCTCAGCAAAAGTCCTGACTTGAAGCTCGCTTACAGTAAATCCTCCTAGGACCCCACTGAAAAACCCCTCTCTGCTCCCTATGTCGCCCCGTCGTCCAGCCGGAGCCCGGGTGTGGACACGCAGGGTGAGGCAGGGTCAGCACGTGTCCTGCCCAAGGTCGGTGCCCAGACACAGCTCCACGGTCCTCTCCGAGACTTCCACTGTCCTGTCTGTTTTCTGCCCTGAGACTGAACATGAGGAAGCGCACACTGCCTGGACCTGGCTTCGGAGCTCTGTGCAGGGAACTGTCGACCAGGGTGGGCCAGGGGCTGGTGAGTCCACAGTTACAGGGACGGGGTCCCCAGATCTGCTGTCCCCCCAGATGCCACCACGCCCGCAGCGGTTGCGTCGGCCATGCTGTCTGCACAGCGAGCGTGGCGCGTGTCTCGGAAGGAGCCGGTTTTATCCCTCGTGCTGTTCATCCCCCTCGGGTGATTAAGCAATTAAAGATCCTCACTGCACAGCCAGACCGCAGGTGGAAACACTCCTGTGTCCTCTGTGGAAAATCAGAGCTGAGAAAGCGTAACTGGGTATTAAAGGGGCAGGCGAGGTGCACCAGTCACTTCCTTCCTGCACCTTCTCCTGGGCCGTTCTCCTCGGGGCGGCATCATCTCGTCATCGTCACAGCCCTGAGCTCCATCCCGGGCAGGAGTCTGGCTCCAGTGACTTTACGCTCCCTGGTTCCTGCTCTTTATGGCTGGAGCTCTTTTTCTAATCTGGAAAGCAGCCCATTTTGAAGCCATCATTCCCACCTCAAAATGCTGTGGATCCCTGATGCCCCCAGGCCTCCACGGGAGGAAGATGCCTTTTATTGGGACAGTTATTCGAGCGCTTCGTAGGGACGCCGTCACACCTGTTTTCACTTTGTCTATGGGCGGTGTCTACCTGCAAAGGCGGCCTTAATAGGTGTGGCAGAGACCACACAGCCCATAACTCTAAAACATCTACTCGCTGATGCTTTATAAAAATCTGCCTCACGTGGCTTTTGATGGCCAAGTTGAAGATCTCTCTTGGTAAATGTCACGTTGCACTTGAAAATATGTGTTGCTGTTCTGTCACTCCGTCGTCTCTGACTCTTTGCGACCCCATGGACTGCAGCCCAGCAGGCATCCCTGTCCTTTACCATCTCCTGGAGTTTGCTCAAACTCATGTCCATTGAGTCACTGATGCCATTCAACCACCTCATCGTCTGTCGCCCCCTTCTCCTCCTGCCCTCAATTTCCCCCAGCAAATATGTGGGTAGTTTTCAAATATCGTTTCACATTGATTTCTAACATAATTCCACAGTGGTAAGAGAACAGACTCTGTATGATGTCAATACCTTTAGACCATGACATTTTTGCACCTTGTTTTATGTGCCAGGATATATTCCAGTGTCTCCTGGTGTACAGTCTATGGGAAATTGAATCGAATTTGTACCCTGTTGCTGCATGAAAATTATGCAAATCTTAATTATGTTGAATTGGTTCACAGTGCTCTTCGGATCTACTCTAACTTTCTACTTCTTTGTATATTCATTCTATTAATTTTTGATATTGAAACTCCAAATAAAAAATCTTAATTTATCCACTTAAAAATAATTTGTAATATACAGTGGAACTATGTGTAACCTTGTTCTGTATTTTCCAGGTCTCCTGTAAATATGTCATTATACTTTCATAATTTAAAAAAATAAAAATGTATTTAAAGAGATTTGCCTCAAGCACCTCCTTGTATATAGTGCTCCTACTGCCCAACACCCACCCCATGTGACAATCCAAAATGCCCCCGCCCCGGGCCAACCACACACCTCCATGGGTTTCTGATAGGCTTTCCACTGAGAAGTTGTTCTTTTTTGCTGTTTTTTGTTTCTTACTGGGTATGTGTTCATGTCTTCATTTCTTTTAGGACTGACTCAGAGTCTTCTCAAGTCACCATTTAGGATGAGGAACTGTCAACACCGAAGATCCCGTCCACTGTCACCTTTCAGGTCAAGGACCCCAAACCCCACACTATAGGTATCTTCTTCACCTTTACTGCAAAGGCACAAATAGCTGGTTCACTTTACTTCTGTGATTCCACTTCTTCCCCAAACAAGAATTTTCTTGGGGAAACTTACTTGGACACTGTTCAGTACAGTTCAGTTCAGTCGCTCAGTCGTGTCTAACTCTTTGTGACCCCATGAACTGCAGCACGCCTGGTCTCCCTGTCTACCACCAACTCCTGGAGTTCACCCAAACCCATTGAGTCCATTGAGTCGGTGATGCCATCCAACCATCTCATCCTCTTGTCATCCCCTTCTCCTTAGGCCCTCAATCTTTCCCAGCATCAGGGTCTTTTCCAATGAGTCAGTTCTTCCCATCAGGTGGCCAAAGTATTGGAGTTTCAGCTTCAACATCAGTCCCTCCAATGAATATTCCAGACTTATTTCCTTTAGGATGGACTGCTTGGATCTCCTTGAAGTCCAAGGAACTCTCAAGAGTCTTCTCCAACCCCACGGTTCAAAAGCATCAATTCTTCAGCACTCAGCTTTCTTTATAGTTCAACTCTCACATCCATACATGACTACTGAAAAAACCATAGCCTTGACTAGATGGACCTTTGTTGGCAAAGTAATGTCTCTGCTTTTTAATATGCTGTCTAGGTTGGTCATAACTTTCCTTCCAACGAGTAAGCATCTTTAAATTTCATGGCAGAAGTCACCATTTGCAGTGATTTTGGAACCCCCCAAAACACAGTCTGCCACTGTTTCTACTGTCTCCCCATCTATTTGCCATGAAGTGATGGGACTGAGTGCCATGATCTTAGTTTTCTGAATGTTGAGCTTTAAGTCAACTTTTTCACTCTCCTCTTTCACTTTGATCAAGAGGCTCTTTAGTTTTTCTTTGCTTTCTGTCATAAGGGTGGTATCATCTGCATATCTGAGGTTATTGATATTTCTCCCGGCAATCTTGGACCCTGAGTAGGTGAATGTTTTTATATACAGCACAAATGGCTATAACCAGAACAAAATCTTCCTATTCACAGTAGCTATTCTCCTTACAAGAAGGTATTAGTTTTTTCTCTTCAGTTATGTCTTGGGTTGACTAAAAAGTCCATTTGGGTTTTTCTGGAAGATGTATGGAAAAACCCGAATGAACTTTTTGGCTAATCCAACAATATAGACAAAAGATAGGCAAAGTGGTTAGGCATTGGGTTAATAAGCATCTAAACCACCTTTGAACAGATGATACATAGACTGAAGTGGATATGGTCCAGGTTTCTCACTGTTGGTGGAATTATTATAAGCACAGAAGAGGGGAAGGGTAGGATAAGCCCTAGAGTTCAGTTTTTAATTGGAGGAATCATGACTAACTCATGTTTTTTGTTGTTCAGTTGGTCAGTTGTATTTGACTCTTTTGCAGCCACATGGACTGTAGCCCATCAAGTTCCTCTGTCCATGGAATTTCCCAGGCAAGAACACTGGAGTGGGTTGCCATTTCCTTCTCCAGGGGATCTTCCTGACCCAGGGATTGAACCTGTGTCTCCTGCATTGGTAGGCACGTTCTTTACGATTGAGCCACCAGGGAAGCCCAGTAACAAGTTGTTGATCATCATAACGTTTGTGTAGATTGAGTTACAAATGTGCTTGCTTTTTTAAGCAAGCAAGGTGACTCTGCTACGTGACTTGGGGATGAAACCCACTGCCAGCTTGCTTAATTCAACCCAGTCCTACCGATGTTCGTTGGGTGCTGGCTACGCCCCCAGGAGGCTGTGTGGGCTGTGGCTATCCACCCCAGATGACACAGGACAAGCAATGGCTGAAAACTGATTGACAACCAGGATTCTGAACACTTCAACCTCGGCTCAACATGTCTCTCCTCTCCTGCTCTGGACTCAGAGGGAGCTTTAAGCGCCCTGTGTGTCCATTGAGAGGTGAATGGATAAAGAAGTCGTGGGGGGTGTGTGTGTGTGTGATGGAATATTACTCAGCGATAAAAGGAGGATATGAGTCACTTCTAGTGAAGCGGTTGAACCTACAGCCTGTCACAGAGTGAAGTGAGTCAGAAAGAGACAAGGATCATATAATAACGCGTATATATGGAACCTACAAAGATGGTACTGATGAACCAACTTGGAGGGGAGGAATAGAGATGCAGACGTAGAGAAGACTTGTGGACACAGCCGGGCAAGGAGAGCGTGGGATGACTTGAGAGAGTAGCCCGGAAACATCTACACTGACGAATGTAACACGGATAGCCAGTGGGAGTCCGACGAAAGACACGAGGCGCTCGACCCAGTGCTCCCTGAGGGGTGCGAGGCGGGAGGGAGGGGACACGTGTATGCCTGTGGCCATTCACGTCGATGTATGGCCGAAGCCACCACAATATTTAAGGCCATTATCCTCCACATAAGAGCAAGCAAAGAGCCCTTCAGCGTCCGGGTCTCCTCAGGCTTTCAGAGGCTGCTGGGGCCCCGCTGCTTTAGGAGTCTCTCTGGCATGAGTGGAAATGAACGAGGGAAAGAACGAACGATAGCTCACACATGGGTGAAGGGAGATCTCTTGCTTCAACAGACTCCTGCCAGTAGCCGCTGAAGGCCGAAAGGAGACCACGGCGGACGTTTTGACGCGGGAGGGCGCTGGGGTGGGAGCGGAGGAGGTGCGCCGGGACGCCGGCCGCACACGGGCCGTCTCAGGACGTCTCCCCGCAAAGCACTCGCTGACCGACCGCAAGGCCCATGGTCCGCGGACCGGGAGACGCCTGCCAGGCGCCCGTGACGGGGCTGGGACCGGCAGACGCGGTGTGCGCCCCCAGCAGGAATCCCTGAGAACGCCGCAGAGCCTTTCTTTCTTTTAAAAGGGATCCCCCTCCGCCCCATGTGGACCATTTCTAAGTCCTTACTGAATTTCCTACAGTACTGCTTCTGTCTTACGTGTTTCACTTTTGTCCGAGAGGCCTGTGGGATCTTAGTTCCCCGACTGGGGCTGGAACCCGCGGCCCCTGCGATGGAAGGCGAAGTCCTAACCACTGGGAAACCGGGGAAGCCCCGGAGACGTGACGGGTTCAGGAAGCTTTACTGAGATGTCACTGACACGGAAAATATGTGCATGTGAGGCATACATCATGGCACTATGATACGGGAATATACTGTGAAATTATTACCACAGGAAGGTTGACACCTCCACCCCCTCACAGAATTAACGTTTCTCCCAGCTGGTGATGATAACATGGAAGATGTACTCTCTTACTGACTTTCTGTCATACGGTAAGTGTATAGTGCAGGACTGTTAGGTCCCGGCCCCAGGCGGTGCATCAGATCCTCAGAACTTATTCATTTTATAACTAGCTCAGTGCCCTTTGACCAACAACTCCTCACTGCCCTGACCACCCGGCCCCTGGAAACCACTATACACTCTCTGTTCCATGAGTTCGGCTTTTTCAGATTTCACGTACAGAAGCTGTCACACAGTACTTTTCGTTCTCTGTGCAGTTTATCTCAATTAGCATAGTGCTCTTGAGGTCTATCCATGTTGCTGCAAATGGCATGATTTCACTCTTTTTTATGGCTATGTAATACTCCATCGCTGGAGGAGGAATTGGAAACCCACTCCAGTATTCTTGCCTGGAGAATCCTGATGGACAGAGGAACCTGATGAGCTGCAGCCCATGAGGTTGCAGAGTTGGACATGACTGAGCGACTCAGCACAGCACAGTGCTGACTTCAACACCAGCAACTCCTAGTTATAAAATGAGTAAGTCACCGATATATAATGTACAAGTGGTTCAGGAGTTACGTATACTGTGTCACATGACGAGAAGTCGTAAGAGAATCAATCTTCAAAGTTTTCACAAGAAAAAATTTCCGTCAGTACAGTACAGTGTGGAGGTGGGTAGATGTTAACGAGACTTATTGAACCCATGTGTAATGTCTACAAATATTCAATCATAATGTTGTAAGTCCTGAAGTGATATAATGTCACACTTATTATACTTTAATAAAAAGTCACTCAATACTTAAAGAAGAGAGTTAGTTGTTATTGAAGGTATCCAGCCATTTATCACGTTAAGCATTATTTCTGCCGAGCCCAGAGCAGACCCCAGGCGTTCTGGGCTCCCTCAGGAGCAGCAGGAAGGGGGAAACGGCGGGAAAACATGAGGCCAAGACATCGGAAGTCTGCATCAACCACAGACGAAACTCTAAAGCAGCAGTGATATAAAAACAAAGAGTGGAATTCAGTATGTAAACGACGACAAAGGTGACCATGAGCATCAGGACGGTGCGGGCGGCTCTGGTCTCCGGGGGGCATCTGCGGTGTCCAGTGTGGGTGTGAATATACTGCACCCTCTGGTGGTGTCTGAGCAGGAGAAGCACCATGGAGCCGCTGGACCAGACCATGAGGGTAAGAAACACGGCATCAGAGACGGACCACAGGTAGACAAAGCCTGCATTAGGAGCTGAGGGGGAACAGAAACACTTGCCCCAGGTTTCAGTATAGCTGTGTGTGTCCCGAGGACCAGTGATTTTCAGAGGAACAAGGATGTACGTTAAGAGACTGAGCATCCAACAGGTGCAGCAGGAAGGACCAATGACCTTGGGGGCCCTTCCTCTGAGCATCACCCACTCTGCTCTCCTGGGGGTGAGGGTGAAGGCCTGATAGGTGCTCAGGATGCAGGTGGAGCACAGGGTGGTACCGCGACCCACTCTCTGGATGTAATACACAAACTTACATCCAAGACTGGACAGGGGCTTCCTTGACACAAAAGCAGCCATTGTGTGGGGAACCCCAGGGGACAGAAGAACCAGGAGGTTGGCCACGGCCAAATGTGGCAGAACCATCTGTGCAGGTTTCAGCCTGTGGCCAAGCAAGACTGGAGAGATGCTGCGGGAGAAAAGGATGGCATTGCCCAGAGCCCCAGCCACCACCTGAAACAGAAAGATGGCTTTCACAGCCGCCTCCGCTGCGTTTCTCAGGGCATCTTTGTGAAAAGACATGCAGAGGACGTCAGAGTGGCCTGGAGCGGAAAGGGGGCTGTGTGGGTGTCGACATATGCAGTCTTCTCACAGAACCAACACTGGGAAAGAATTGCTGCTTTCTGCTCTTCTGAGAAGGGAGACACGGTCATGCTCCACAGGAGGGGCTCAACCTGGAGCACACATACATGATACCGGTTACACTTTTCACTCTGATTATATTTATTTCTATTATTTTGGCACTTCCTTATTCTCCACCAGCATGTAAGCTCCATGAAGTAAAGAATCACATCACTTGTTCAGTAACATGGTGTGATGCATAATAGATGTTACAAACTCTGTACTAAGTGTATGACAATGTGACCGGAGACAGAGTAGCAGATACACTCCCCCCTTAGAGACGTTCCTGCGTCTTATAAGCATGTATTAAGAAAGAAATGGAAAATGCACAATACTGGTGAGCTTTAAGACTGCCCAACTAGTTACAACACAGTTGCAAGAGTCAGTTATTCACACTTGAAACTCATATTTCATCAGAATTACCACACACAGTAGCACTGGGTTCTTCTTGCCTGAATCTGCTCTCCTGGGAAGGCAGTTAACTGGAGCCTAACCAGCTGGGGTTCTCACAGAGCCTGACTCACCTGGGAAAGGAAATCCCCAGCTCCAGCCCACTCTCGCTGTGCTGTCCCCTCCAAGGGGAAGAAAACCATGGAGACACAGGAGGTTCACAGTCCAGAGGCACACTCAGGGACTGACTGAGACCTCATTGTAGGAGGTGGAATCTCCCCTCTCCTCCAGGAAGGAGATAGAGGGGCCCCCGGGCTGGAGAGCTGGTGTTCATCAAGTGGAGTAAAACTGAAGGTTTATTCTCATGCACACTCCAAGGAAAAAGCTAGTGGCAGAAGCTGAGCCCCGCTGGGGTAAAGATGTACTGTGCCCATGCCTGAGGTCAAGGAAGACTTCCCTGTCTGTACAAGAGCAGGAAGGCTTCCCAGGGGTCAAAAAGGGAGGGGGGCCCCACCCCATAATAAGGGTGGACATGCACCTACAGGCCTCTGTGGTGGGATCCATCTTAGCAAAACATTGCCCATGCATGTTGGGGAGGGTTCAGGGATCAGTCAGGTGTCAAGAAAGAGACAAGGTAATTGGCCAAAGGTAAACAAAGACAATATTTTAAGTATATATTATGAAATCATACAGTAACCACAGCAATTATTTTGAATTTAGACCAACAGAAGTTTGGTTTGTTTGTTTTTGTGGAGTTTTTAAAAGATCTACTGACAAATGTCCTTTTTGCTAGTAAATCCCATCATTCGGTAATCTCAGAAATCATTCCTTATTTCAAAGAGAAAAATTCCACTATAGTTTAATCCCATTGTCTCTGACTGAACTCCCATCATATAGACCAAAGATCAGCAAACTTTTTCTGTAAAGGGACAGATAGTGGTATTTTAGGTTTTGTACGTCCAGATGCAAGTGAGCAACTCCATGTGTTTATGCAGCTGGGAAGGCAGCCACGGACAATATAGTAACAGGTGAGCATAGCTGTGTTCTCAATAAAAAAGTATTTCTGAAAACAGATGGCGTATGTGCACACCATCATTCACAGCAGCATTGTTCCCAGTAACCAGTAAGTGGAAACAGCCCAAGGGTCCATCAGTGGATGAGTGGATAGGCAAAATGTCATCTTATATTGATAGGAATAGTATTCATCTGTGAAAAGGAAATATGCAGCATATTTGATATATGCTACAACACAAATGGACCTTGAAAACATGCTTAATGAAGCAAGCCAGGCACAGATGGAAAAATAGTATATGATTCCACTTATAAAAGTTACTGGAGTAGGCAAACTCATTGAACCAGAAAGTAGAATAGAGGTTAGCACTGACTGAGGGGAAGAGGGGTTGTTGTTTAATGAGTAGCAAGGGTCTGTTGGGATGATGAAGTTTTGGGAATAGATGGTGGTAGGAGTTATACACGGGCTTCCTGGTGGCTCAGATGGTAAAGGGTCTGCCTGCAATGCGGGAGACCTGGGTTTGATCCCCAGGTTGTAAAGATCCCTTGGAAAATGAAATGGCAACCACTCCATTCACATCACTAAAGGTTTAACAGGCACTCTTTTTACCCACTACAATGCATCCAGATAACAAGGCACATTGAAATGCAAAAACAAACAAAAAACCCCCCAAACCCAAACAGTTTGAAGACACAGAGCGAGCATCAGATGCAGACATGGCAGGAATGTTGGGAGGGTCAGACCTGGAACGTGAATCAGCTATGATCACTGTGCTGAGGGCTCTAGTGGATAAAGCAGACACTGCGGGAACAGCTGGGCAACGAGAGCAGGAGAGAGGAATTCTAAGGAAGAACTAGGAAGAAATGCTGGAGACCAAATACTGTCCCCGAAATTCAAGACTGACTTTGATGGGCTTCTTAATAAACTGGAAGACGCTGATGTGGAAGTAATCTCAGAGGGAGATTTACAGTGAACTCACGGCTCTGGTCCCACTCAGATACCCACCCCAGCACATTCCCACCTTCTACCTGCCAGCCAGGGAAGGCACGGACGGGGCAGCTCAGGACAAGGCCGGGGAGCACCTGTCCTGCCCAAGGTGCTGACAGCACAGCTCTGGGCGCCTCTCCTGCTGGAGAGCCTGCTCTCTCGTTTCCTGCCCTGAGACCGAACACAAGGGCGCACTCACCTGCCTGCACTTGGCTCCACACTCTGTGCAGGTAGTGTCAGTCAGGATGGGCCCAGTTATAGGGACAGGGTCCCTGGGCCCGATCTCCCCACAGAGGAGCCATTATCATGTCATCTGGAGATCTGGAGTGGAGGTGACACTGTCTGCATAGAGAGTCTGGGGCGTCTCCAGGGAGGAGCAGATCTTACCGCCCCCCCCGCCCCCGTCCCCCGTGTTCATCACCCTCATCCATGCCTGGGGACTAGTGACGACTCCTGGCAATTATTGAGAAGGTCCACATGGGCAGCTGAGCAGAGGGCAGGGAGAGTTTTCTGTGTTCCCTGTGGGAGAACCCAAGTTTAGAGTGAAAGTCATAACGGGGAGGGACACTCACAGTGCACCAGGGCTCCCTTCACTGTGTCTCCCATTGGACATTTTCCTTCATGGTCTCACTTTTCCAGACTGTTCCAAAGTGTGTTCTCAGTGGTCATCAGCATGTGATCTGGAGGCTGGGCTTTCTCCTGTTCTATTTATGGCCTCAGGTCTGTTTAATCTGGAAAACGCCCCCTCTGAAGTCACTGTTTCCCTCCTCAGAATCCTCAGGTCTCCCTTGTGTCACATGACTCTGCAAGGATTTAGTCATTTGTTCTAAGCCACCCACAGAGCCCTCTCCTAGAGCCTCTCAGTGGACCTCCAGCCTGTCTCTGTGTTCTGGGCCATTACTGTTGGAAAGATTTCTGGACTCACAGACAGGGACTAAGAAATACCACTGATAAGGAAAAACAGAGAGGTAACATTAGACTGTATGCTGCAGTCCATAGGGTCACAGAGTCGAACTTGATTTAGTGGCTGAACAATAGCATTAGAAAACTTTAAAATGATCATTGCAATCATCAGTTGATAGTTGGATCTTGGGTACCAGTTACCTCAGCTGGGAAATAGCCCTGAGTTCATCCTTCTGAAGCCCAGAGAGCAGAGGGGTACAATCAATCATCCCCACTGGGCTCCTTCTGCAGGAGTTGATGCACTGTGGCCAGTGGACTTGTCCACGGTTCAGGTACATGGGTTTGACAAGAGAAGGCAGGCAGGTAAGACGGCCATTGCCTCTTCAAAGTGTTCAACTGTGGCTCCTGTCTGCAGAAAAAAAGCATGATAATGATGCAAATTATTGACAGATTATTGATCCTCAGAATCTGCCCCCACACACTTAAACACACAGAAGCTACTGTGTGCTGTCCCTAGGACTCGGTCATGAAGGTGCAAACAGAAACACTCATGGTCCTGGTCCTGAGATATGAGATGCTGGTTACATGAAGGCCATGGTTCATCATCAGACTCTTCCTTGAACTGGTGAAAGGGTCTTGATTTCGCTGTCTATTAAGGTAGCTCCAGTCCCACGTGGCTACTGAGCCCCTGAAACGGGCTCGTCTGAGAGATGCTCTGATTGTAAACACACACTGGACGCCAAGCGTCTGCTAAGACAGAGAGACAGTAAGCTACCTTTTCAAGAACTTTTCAGAATTGATTATAGCTTGTGCTCAGTCGCTCACTTGTGTCCGACTCGTTGCGACCCCATGGACTGCCACCCGCCAGGCTCCTCTGTCCATGGGACTCTCCAGGCAAGAACACTGGAGCGGGCTGCCATGCCCTCCTCCAGGGGGTCTTCCTGACCCAGGGGTCCAGCCTCCGTCTCCTCTGTCTCCTGTGTTGCAGGCAGATTCTTTACTAGCTGAGCTATCAGCGAAGCCCCCATCCTTAATAAAATCTCACTTATTCCAGAAATAAGTCAACACTTGATGGGATTAAGGAGGTGGGATGTAAATAAGGAGGAAATAGGAACCATATTCATAAAATCCCCTTGCAGGGGAGCTGAGTGGCAGTGGGGGCACGTGGAGGCCACAGGCGAACCTAGTGGACTTGAGGTGGGCCCACCTCATGGAATTTCTTTTTCACGTCTCCGATTTCTCCAAAAGACAGATTTGAGAGACATGGTCTGCAGTATGGAGGCATTTGTTAATTCAGCAAGTATTCTCGAGGTCAGCTCAG